TTCAAGGAAATCTAAAAACAGATGCCTTCAGTTTGTGTAGAAAAGGAATCAGTTTCTGGGTGGTGAAGAAGGATGCGTGGAAAAGTCAGCACACAGAATGATGCCAGTCACTTTGCTAAAGCAATGAAATGGAACAGAAATCGACTCAAAATACAAGTTTTTATGGTAAGACTGGCATTTCAACCTAATGGGAAGAAAAAGGATTACCTAATAATGGCTAGCCATTTAATATAAAGATGAATTTCTGCTTCAGATCACACCCAAAATAAAAATTTCCATGTGAAAACAAAACTTTCTAGTTCTAAAAGATAAGGAAGTGATTAAAAAATAACAATCTTGGAAGGCCTAACAATATAAAAACTAGTAGAACACTACAAAAAATATATATAAATATAACATTAAATAAATATAAACTATAACAATATAAAAAACTAATAATATATTCTAACTAACATAAAAACTGTAAAGAAAAATATGAAATAATTTGACTTCATAAAAATTTATCATGAAAATTTAGGTACATCAGACACTAAAAGGCAAACTGGAGAATTTATTTTTGCTACTTATGGAAGAGTTAATCACAAGATATTTATGGTGCCTATGGAATACTTAATAATAAAGCATTTAGAAATCAACAAGAAAGAGAGGAATGAATTCAAAGACACAAAATAACTGAACATCACTTTACGTAAGAAGAAATGTAAATGGCCAGTAAACCTATGAAAATATATTTAACCTCCTTAGCAAAGGTCAAGAATTGTGTGTTTTAAACATCTGAAAGTTAATTTTTCCTCTAAAAATTCAGCAAAGACAAAAATAAAAATGCCAGCAGTGCTGCAGGGAAATTAATACTTTCTTATATCACTTGTGACCATATAAATTGCTCTAACTTAGAGGGTATTTGGCAGAAGAAAAAACTTAAAATTTAACATGTGCTATGACCCAAAAATTCTACTTGTAAGAATCAATCCAAAAGAAATAATCATGGTTACATGCAAAGATTTTGCTACTAGAATGTTGATCAAAGCATTTTTATGATAACTAAAAACTGGAAACAGCTTAAATCTCCAACAATAAGGAATGTTAATTATATGATGGTGTGTGGTATGTTATGGAACTTTCTGTAACCTTAACATGTTGTAGAAAAAATTATATTTCATGTCATAGAATAAAATTCACTTTTATCTTGTTCAGAAAATAATGTAGGTTTAAAATTGTAATATATATTACATATATGTTATACATACATAGAAAAAGATGGTAGAATAATATATATCTTACATGTCAAAATGTTAAAATACTTTTCTCTAGGTATGGGAATTATGGATGATTTTAAAATGTCTCTTTTTATCAGATTTTTTTTTTTCCTTTAGAGTGAACATGTGTTACTTGGAAAACAAAAGGTAAAGCAGTGTATTTTGTTTCAAATATTGTAGCTAGCACAGTTTCATCCTGGAGATAAAGTGGGATAATATATAAGAAAATCCTTAACACAGGATAAGAAAGATGAAGTAGCCTTGGTACCCAGGATTTGAATTTGAATCTAAAATTCAAGCACTCTGGAAACTTGTAGCACTGGATTAAAGAGTGACTTACCCTAGTGGGTGGATTGCCTGAGTCCCAGCCCACTCTCTTTTTTTGTAGCTTGACTTCATTTTAACGGCTCAAACATCTCTTCATAAGATGTCAGCCAAGGAACAGAAAGAAAAATAAATTCTTATCTGTCATTTTTCAGATAATCCTGATCACATTCATCTTCTTCACGATACTGTGAAGCACACTCTAGCATGATCCCTTCCTTTGAGGTAAGCTGGGGCAAGGCTTCCTTTGGAAGATCTCTGGAATCAACAGCCACTGCTGTATGCTCTGTTATGTGACACAAAGATAGAAATTATGCACATGGAACTCCCCAAGTGGCTCAGTGGTAAGGAATCCGCCTGACAATGCAGGAGATGTAGGTTCGATCCCTGGGTCGGGAAGATCCCCTGGAAGAGGGCATGGCAACCCACTCTAGTGTTCTTGCCTGGAGAATCCCATGGACAGAGGAGCCTGGTGGGCTACAGTTCATAGGGTTGCATAGAGTCAAATGTGACTGAGCATGCACACAACCAAAACATCAAAGTAAAACCCAGGTATTGATTATGGAACCCCGAGATGTTTTGGCTGACAGGAAGGGGAGGCATGCTCAGAAGGTGAGTGCCGGATGGTGCTGGCTGGAGGATAGCATTGGAGTTACCACGGAGGCTGGTTCCCTGTCAGGATCCTGGATTCACACCTTGGGCCATGGGAAATATAAGCAAAAGAATGAGGACAGAACAGGGTGCTTTGTACAATGGATCCCTTTAAGATTTGGGATATAATGCACCACTTAGGTTTTCCAGGTGTCGAAATGGTTAAAAAAAAAAAAAAAGATCCACCTGCAACGCAGGAGACACAAGAGATGTGGGTTCAATTCCTGGGTTGGGAAGATCCTCTGGAGAAGGAAATGGCACCAATCTTCTTGCCTGGGAAATCCCACGGACAGAGGAGCCTGGCGGGCTACAGCCCACGGGGTTGCAAAGAGTTGGACACGACTTAGCCACTAAATAACCACCACTTCTTTGGGATCACTGCGGCAGACCTTGTCACTAACAATTGTGTGTATATGTGTGTGTGTTCACAGGGTGCAATGCTGAAAAAGCGAAAGCGAAGTTGCTCAGTTGTGTCCGACTCTTTGCGGCCACACGGACTGTAGCCTACCAGGTTCCTCCATCAGTGGGATTTTCCAGGCAAGAGTACTGGAGTGGTTTGCCATTTCCTTCTCCAGGGGATCTTCCTGACCCAGGAATTGAACCTGGGTCTTCCCCATTGTAGGCAGACGCTTTTACCGTCTGAGCCACCAGGGAAGGGGTTGGTGATTCCTATAGATGGGCGTTAGGAATTAGAAGAGAATTTTCCCTATGTCTGTGTAATATGGTGTTGCTGCACTATTGGCGTCCGAAGGACATGATGGCAGTCCTTTTTTGGTGGCAGTGAAGGAGCAGAGAAAGAGGATGGTAAAAAGAGAATGGAGGTGGAGGCCATACTACGACTGTCACGGCTTGCGTTTATTGTAACTCCCCAGCCCACCTCACCCTGAGATTGCAAGACAACATTTGGGGAGACTTGTTGGGGGGCATTGGATATTATAGCAAGCAGGGTGGAAAAACTGAGCCAAATATGGATTGCTACTATAAATGTAACTTCCCTTTAAACCCGGAGTTAATTGCCCTGGGAATCCGCGTGTTACATAGACAAGGGTTCATTTCTATGATTAATTCCGCTGGCTTGAGCTTGGTACTAATGAGACCAAGGCCAAGGTTATCAGCTCTAACCCCACAGGAGCTGTTAGCATCTCACGGCTCCAAAACCCAGGTGACAGCCTTCACCCTCGGACACAGTGGGACTGGGTGACAGAGTGTGATGTTTGACTCCACTTTTACTACCCAACACCCCCCACTTTCCCCTCTAACACGATGCCTCTGCGCTGAGGGCACAGGCAGTTAATTCTGTAACACGAAAATGACATTGTCTCCAGAGCCATATTGCACTTAAAAGGCTGCCTGCGTGAGAGACAGTAGAGACTGCCCTGTTACTCCTTTCAGTGGGCACAGGTGGTGCCACCGATTGACTTTCAGAGACAAAAACAGCTTGAAAGAAACCATGCCCAGGTAACCCCATTGCCTAAGAGTTTGACTACAATTTGGCAAAAAACAAACCTCTGTTCTTTCGCCACTTTCTAAGAAGTAGTTGGCAATCTCCAGCCTGTACATTTGGAAAGGAATCAAGTGGGGTGTTATACCTGTGTCCACTGGATTCTCTGCCTTGAAGAGTCCCGTCCCTTTAGTCCAAAGCCTTTTGTTCTGTGTTTCATCATATAAGACCTAAGTCCTCACTGGTGTGTGCGTGTATGCTGAGTTGCTTCGGTAGTGTCCAACTCTTTTTAACCCTATGGACTACAGCCTGCAAGTCTCCTCTGCCCACGGGATTCTCCAGGCAAGGATACTGGAGTGGGTTGCCCTTCCCTTCTCCAGGGGAGCTTCCTGGACCCCAGCAATTGAACATGTGTTTATTTCTCTCTCCTGCAGTTGTAGGTGGGTTCTTCACCACTACTGCCACCTGGGAGGCCCTCAACACATCTTAAGCTCTGTATTTATTAGGATCACTCGATTTGCAAGTAACTGAAACTCAACTCATGGATTCACATACCCGGGAAGAGTACTAGGTCTGTTCACAGACTCTAAAGAAGAGCTGCAGGGATCAGTCTTAGAAACCAGTTTGGGGGAGAATGGCTACATGTCTGTGCATGGCTGAGTCCCGTCCCTGTCCACCTGAAACCATCACAACATTGTGTGTGTCTGAGCTCGACTGTGTCCGACTCTTTGCAGCCCCATGGGCTGGATCCTGCCAGGCTCCTCTGGCCCTGGGCTTTTTCCAGGGAGGATACTGGAGTGGGTTTCCATTTATCACTCCAGCGGATCTTCCCCACCCACCGATCCGGCCCATGTCTCCTGGGTCTCTTGCTGGCGGATTCTTTACCACTAGTGCCACCTTGTTTACCCTCTATATTAAAAGTGAGAGTGTTAGTCGCTCAGTCGTGGCCGGCTCTTTTGGGACCCCATGGACTGTAGCCCGTCAGACTCCTCTGTTCATGGGATTCTCCAGGCAAGAATACTGGAGTGGGTAGCCATTCTCTTCGCCAGTGGATCTTCCCAATCCAGGGATCGAACTCATGTCTCCTGCATTGCAAGCAGATTCTTTACTATTTGAGCCACGAGGGAATACACCATAGGCCAATACAATGGGAAAATTTTTTTAAAGAAAAGAAAGAAATCGGATCTGAAACACGGCCCTCCCAGAGACCCGGCCAGCTTTCCCTTCCCCTGCTCCTTGTCTTGGCTTCGCTGTCCAGAAAGCTTCTCTCCACGTGGCAGCCAGCATTCCCCAACGCACATCCCCCTGGCTTAGCAAAAACAGGACAGCTATGTTCTCTGGCATTTTGAGTGGTTTTCCTCGGTCTCAAAGATTGCTGGCTGAGGATTAAAGCACTGGAGGTCCAGGTGCCGCCTCCACGCCTGAAGCTGCGCGCATTCATCAAGGAAGCAGGAGGCAGAGACTGCGTGGGGCCGAGCTCTGCACCCGCCCAGGCGCCGCTTGCAGACGCGGCTAGGCCGCGGCAGGGCGATGGCCATGCGCGCTTTGGCCATGAGACCGCGGGTTCTGGCCCGTCTGAGCTTCTGATGGCATTTGGGGCTCCGAGGAGCATCTAGTCTTCATCACCAACAACAGCAGCGAGATCTGCGAGGCCTATGCCTTGGACCTGTGTCAGCACCGGTGCTTCGGCCGCCCTGCGGACCTGGCACTGGCGGCGAGGTCCCAGGCCAGATCTGTTGCATCGCGCTGCACCTGCGCTGGTGCCAGGCAGGCGCGCGGGGCGCAGGTGTTCGTGCTGGACGCCTGGGATGTGGAGCCCAAGCCGCTGCCGGGTGAACCGCCCTGGCACCTGACTGGACAAGGCTCCAGAGCTCAAGGTGCGTGCTGTTGAGATGCACTTTGGTCCTCAACTTCAGTTCCATGAAGCTCTCCAAGGCCGTGTTACCTGTAGCAGCCCAGCTGCCTGCTCATGGGCACCAACGTGGATGACCGGCTCCCACTCGAGAACTGGACGCTTCATCGTGGGTACCGGCCGGGCTGTCTGGTTTGAGCCATGGGGATACGCGTCCCGCCAAGCTGGCATCATAGGGAGCCCAGTCGCTCCATCTTTCACTGCGTGTCCCAGGAGTGTGGTGTCCACTCGGGGCGCACCTTCATGGTAGGTGGTCGCCTGGACACAGACATCCTCCTTGGTGTCACTGTGACCTGAAGGTCATCTTCACCCCCTGGGGTCTCCACTCTAAGGGATGTGATTTTTAAAAAAAGGAATGGGAAATGTGCAAAGAATAAGTTACTGCAGTTCTCCTTAACCTTCCCTGAAGCTTAATTAGTCTGCTTGCATGCATGCAGACTCAGCCGTGTCTGACTCTTTGTGACCCCCATGGACTGTACCCCTCCAGGCTCCTCTGTCCATTGGATTTTCTAGGCAAGAATACTGAAGTGGGTTGACATTTCCGTCTCCAGGGGACCTTCCCGACCAGGGATCAAACCTGCATCTCCTGCATTGGCAGGAGGAGTCTCTACCACTGAGCTACCCGGGAAGCCCTAACTGGTCTGCTTAGAGCATCGCATGACATTGGGATCTTCTGAAGAAGACTAGAGTAATACAGATGCATGTCAGAGGAGAAAAAAAGTCTCTTTCTGATCATTTGGAATTTCACTTTTATATAGTCAGAAGGAATATCATCTAGGTTCTTCTGTAATAGGTAGAAAAATGGAGTCACAGATAATTGAAGTGAATTGCACAAGACAAATCACCCACTGGGTAACTGGACAAAAGTCTCATCCCTTATACCCAAGTTTACTACTTTTTCTTGTGTTAGCCCACCTTCAACAGATTTGTTATCCAACTCATCACTGGCTTTGATGGTGGGAAGTTCAACTGATGGATGAAGATCAACCTTGATGGTCTACAAACCCTGTTGCAACCCTCTTCTCTCACCTTCAGATCCATAGGCTTATCTGCTCTTGGGTAGGGCTTGATGGAATAGGCAGGGCCAGTCAGCTGCAGACCTGGGACTCAAAGAATAAATTCAGGCCTCCTTGTCCTGGTCACTTGGGTTTCTAGAGCCGTGTCACAGCCCCTGGACAGAAGGAAAGGAAGACAAGAGATCAGAATTCAAACCCAGTCTTGGATTCTCCTTCCTCTTAAGATGTAGAAAGTCACCCAAGAACATTGCTTCCTCCCTTACAAAGAAAAAAAGCTGGGTGATCTCTAAAATCATAATTTTTTTTTCAGCCCAGGAGAGAACTGTGGTCACAAGGCAACTCAAACTGAATTCCAGGGTAGGAAGTGTCATAAGGCCCTTTCAGAAGATGTGCACAGAGGAACTGCTAATGTTTTTGCAGGGCATGAGAAGAAGAGGTAACAGCCAGAAGCAACGGACATTTTAACACGTTCTTCGAGGCCACGTGTAGGCTGTTACTCGTTAGTTACTTGGGCATTGCAGTGTGTTGGGCACTGAGGAGAGGAGATACTATTCCAGAGTAGTCAGCCTGGTTTGACTCTCTTTCTTAATGGAATACTGGAAAGTGAGTGTATTGGCTCTCTGTTGCTATGTAACAAACGATCCTTTGAAGCAGCTTAAAACATCAGACATTTATTATCTCAGAGTTACTGTGGGTCAGGTATCCCAGCGGGGGACCTCTGACTTGTGGTCTCTTGGAAGGCTGAAGGTTTTGGTCACTGGTCCCCTCAAAGCTCGCCCGGGGAAGGGTTTGCACACAAGCTCATGCACACGGCTGTTGGCAGGGCTCAGGTCCTCACTAACTGCTGGCTAGAGGCACAAGTTCCTTTTCACATGGCCTCTCCGCAGGGCAACCCTCAACATGGCTGCTCACCTCACTCAAAATGAGTGAGTAAATGAGATAGCCAGAGGGGAGGCCACGGGCCTTTCTGCTATATTAGTAGTGAGTCACGAGGGCCATTCAAACTCAAAGAAATTGCACATGGATGTGAATACCAGGGGGCTTCTCTGATGGTGTAGTGGTAAAGAATGCTTTTGTAATTCTTTACAGATTCTTTCCAGGAGATGCAAGAGATGCGGGTTCAATCCCTGGGTTGGAAAGATCCCTTGGAGAAGGAAATGGCAACCCACTCCAGTATTCTTGACTGGAGAATCCCATGGACAGAGGGACCTGGCGGGCTAGAGTCCATGGGTCACAAAAGAGTCAGACATGGCTCAGCGACTAAGCACACACACACGAGGTTTGGATCACTGGCATAGTGGCTGCCTGCCACAGAGTTGAACACTATATTTGGGGACCAAAAGTTAACTATTATACCCTTGGGGTCGGAGGTGGTAAGTAGAAGTGAAGGGTGTTCTGTGCCAAGTTTTGCAAGTCCTGGAGCCTTGACAAGAAAGTTGGAGCTAGCAAGTGTCAGGGGTTTGAGACTCAGTGGGTTAGGGCAGAAGGGCACCAAGTCCTCAGAATGACTGAAGAAGGAAGGAAACAAACACACGTGCCCAGTGTTTTTGTTGTGTCATTAAATTCTCAAACCCATGAAAAGATATTATATTAGTCCCATTTTACAGATGAAGAATTAAGGCCTGGAGAGTTTAACTCTTTCTCATGGTTACACAGCTATTATGGTGATGTTTGCACAACCCTGTAAACACACTAAAGAATCATTGAATTGTGTACTTAAAATAGATACACACTAGGATATGTATGGGACTCGGACAGTAAAGAATCTGCCTGCAATGCAGGAGACCCAGGTTCGATCCTTGAGTCTGGAAGATCCCCGGGAGAAGGAAATGGCAACCCTCTCCAGAATTCTTGTCTGGGAAATCCAGTGGGCAGAGGAGCCTGGTGAGCTACAGTCCACGGGGTCGGGGTCGCAAAGAGTTGGATGTGACTTGGCAACTAAACAATAGCAGCAAGGAAATGTAAATTATATTTCAATAAACTTTTTTTTTTTCCAAGACCACACAGGTAGTTCATGGTAGAGTGGGAAATTTCCGACCTAATTGTTTTAGGCTCTGTATTATTTTGCTGGAGCTGCTGTAACAAGATACTACCACCTGGATGGCTTAAACAGTAGGTGTTAATTTTCTGATGGTTGTGGAGGTTAGAAGTCTGAGGTCAAGGTGTTGGCAGGGTTGGCTTCTTCTGAGGCCTCTCTCCTTGGCTTGTAGACGGCCGCCTTCTCCTGCATCTGAACACGGTCCTCCTCTTTCTGTACACATCCTGGGTGTCTCTGTGTGTCCGAATCCCCTCTTCTTAGCAGGACACAGGTCCCATTGGATTAAGACTCACCTTAATTGTCTCACTTTAATTTATTCACCTCTTTAGAGACTTTATCTTCAAATATGATTATAGCCTGGGCTACTGGGTATTATGACTTCCCCATGTGAATCTGGGGAGACAATTCAGCCCATAAAAGACTCCAAAGTTTATGTTTTTTTTCAGACAATAGAAATCCTTTTCAGACAATAGAAATCTACTGCTGTCTTTGTTAATAAAATCTACGTGATAAACTGTATCCTGGCTTTATTAATATACATTTGTTCTGTTCAGATGGAACAGTATTGGGACAATTCTAATTCCTACAGATAAGTATTTGCAAATGGTAACAGTTTAAATGAGCTCATTGCTGCAGTCTCTAGATACTCTTCAAATAAATTGATTAAAAGCTCTAAAGAGGAAGAGTTGAATTGTTAAAAGAAAAAAAAAAGTGAAGTTGAATGACCACCAGTATTTAACATCTGTTAATACCATTTATCACAGAGATGTTAAGTAAAACAAGCATCCAAAATGTATAACAAATGCTGAGACTGTTTGTAATGTGCTGTTATCGCATATCTTGTCATCTCTTTACTGGTTACTCTGCAACTGACCACACGCTAGGAGAGTGCACTCTCTGAGCAGACAGGCGTGAGCCTGGCCCAGCGTGGCCTGAGCCAGCCACTGCATGTGAAAGGAACACTTGTGCACAGTCTTACATGACGAGACACACAAGGGCCTACATTCTTAAAAAGTCCGGACACGCAAGTCAACTTACTGGTGTCCTGATGTATTAAAGTTTGACATGAAAGACCCTTCGTACTGCATTTTACTTCTGTTTTTAAGGTAGCAGTAATTTTTAAAGATGGGGCTTTCCTGGTGGCACAGTGATAAAGAACCCACCTGCCAATGTAGAGACTCGGGTTTGATTCCTGGGTTGGGAAGATCCCTTGGAGAAGGGCATGGCAACCCGCTCCAGTCTTCCTGCCTGGAGAATCCCATGGACTGAGGAGCCTGACAGGCTGAAGTCCATGGGATCTCAAAAGAATGGGAAATGACTTAGCGACTAAACAACAGCAACAATTTTTAAAGATACTTAAACATTGGTGAGGACTTCCCTTGTGGCTCAGCTGGTAAAGAATCTGCCTGCAATGTGGGAGACCTGGGTTCGATCCTTGGATTGGGATAGATCCCCTGGAGAAGGGAAAGGCTACCCACTCCAGTGGCCTGGAGAATTCCATGGACTGTATAGGCCATGGGGTCACAAAGAGTTGGACATAACTGAGTGACTTTCACTTTCAAAGATTTGTGGGGACACAGTGCAACCTAGCTTTCAGATAACGCAGTCTGAAACTACCTGAAATATATCCTCAGGCTCTAATGCCTACAGGGGACCCATCTGTTTGGAAAGACAGACCCATGGCTTGTATCAACTGCATCAGAACCTAAATCCGGAGATGGGGAGAGAGGAAAGCCAAGTGTTGGGGAGAGGGGAAAGCCAAGTATGTGCTTGAAACAAAAATTCCAGCATCATTTGAACTAAACTCTTCATTCTGGGTTAACTAACTGGTGGGTTTAAAGAGTGACTTGAGAGTCCCTGTTATCTGTGCTCCAGATCAGCGACAAACCTTAGCATTCCTCAGGAAGAATCGAATGTCACTTAAAACTGCCTTTTCCGTCTGCTTCCTCCCTCAATTAAGAAGCCTTTGTAGGACTGAGGCCAAATGAGTCCATAAAAGGGCTTATTTCCCATTTGGTACTCAGCTGAAGCCCAAGTTGCTCACTTTCTCCCTGGTTCTCATTTCTTCTCTCTCCACACTCCTCTTTCCAATCTTTTAAACCAATTAGAGGAACTGAAGACTTGGTGCAACGGCCAAGTATTGAGTTTTTCCGTCAACAAGGAGAGGCCAGCCAATATCCCTTTATCTGAAAGATAAACAGAGGCAGCTAATGAGGGGAGGTGGGAGGATTAGGGGTAGTAGAGGATCATTCTGGAAGCTTTGGTGATTCTTTAGAGGAGATAACGCGATGGAGGCCGAAGTTTCCGCACTAAATCAGTTCAGTGAAGACACTTGAGGTCACGCAGCGCTCATCCACTAGATGGCAACAGAGAGCCATCTATACCTACCTCTCGGCTCCTGGCTGAACTTCGCCTCCAAGCTGCTGAAGTTTAAAATCCCCTCTATTGCATGGAACAATACCAAGAATTTTGCTGAAGAGATGGCTGATTGTTGGCTGTTTAGACCTTACCTTCTAACCCTTTGCATTTATCCTATAACCTGAAGTTCAGCTGTGTTTTTCAGAGGTCTCCTTCATTGCAGGCAGATTCTTTACCGTCTGAACCACCAGGGAAGCCCATACGAAGCATAGATTTGTGTATATATTGTCACTCCTGTTTTTTAGCCTCTGAGGGAAAGTGCCAAGCAACACTGTCCCCATTCTCTTTTATGTAAGAGGGTTTGCTGCTCTTTGAAAGTCTTTTTTGTTGTTCTTGTTGGTTTGATTCAATGAAGAAGAATTAAATAGGCAGCCTTGCTGGGTATGAAATCATTTGCCACCTACTCACAAACAACAATTTGACCTGATCCCCTGGCCTTGGGAAAGTCAGTGACTCCTGGCTTGGTTTGGCCAGCAAGGGGGCAGTGTGAGGTTTTGTGGGAGGTGTGAGAAGAGAGTGAGTATTGTCTAGGGGCTTCCTGCTCCTGGGAGAGACAGTCTGGGTTGTAAAGGACCAGCGCTAAGGTCTGCAGTCATGTATGGAGGTGAGAGTTGGACCATAAAAAAGG